TTAACATTTTTGTGTTAAATGGCAATTGCTGTAATAATAATAATAACAAATAATACAAGAATAAGAACTAATTTAAATTCATATAATAATGTATTTTTTTATCTTCACGGAGAATGTGAATTATGTTTATTTATCAGAATCTTTGTTATCCGAACAATCTCTGCATAAAGAATCTAATAGATTCATCATCAGTTTCGAAGGCTTAGTAACATATTGTTGAATTCATTATAATCGATGTACTAATGCTTCTTTTACAATATTTTCAGTCCTGATCAAATGGGTCTACTTGATCCAGCAACGAGTGACGGCCGGGTGATTTTCTTTTTGCCGTGGCAAAAACAAACAATTGCAGGAACAACCGATTTGCCTTGCGAAGTAACACACAATCCTCGGCCTACGGAAGACGAGATCATGTTCATTCTGCAGGAAGTGAAAAATTACCTGAACCCAGACGTTGAGGTGCGACGCGGAGACGTTCTTTCTGCTTGGAGCGGTATTAGGCCGCTCGTTTCCGACCCGAATAAACCGAATACGCAGTCACTCGCTAGGAATCATATCGTGCACGTCAGTCCTACGAATCTCGTCACGATAGCAGGCGGCAAATGGACGACTTACCGAGCGATGGCTCAAGAAACCATTGACGCAGCTATAAAAGGTATATCGGCAGAATTAAACGCAAAGTGTTATAAAAGACTCATAAATGTTCGTTTAAAGCTTGCGAGCTAGAACCAGAAAGACCCTGCCAGACGGATGGCTTTCTTCTTGAAGGCGCTCAGGGCTGGAGCCCCACAATGTACATTAGATTAGTGCAGGATTTCGGTCTGGAATGCGAGGTCGCGCAACATTTGTCCAAGAGCTATGGAGATCGTGCATTTGCCGTAGCTAAAATGGCTTCGCTTACAGGGAAACGATGGCCTATTATTGGAAAGAAAATTCATCCGGAATTTCCATACATCGATGCTGAAGTAATTGTCTCTCTGAATTGTTCAAAGAACACCCCACTAATCATATAAAAGATCGAGTCCCGGTGTGTGTGAAATAAATTATTTTTTACACATAATATAACTTATAACGTAGTGAACAGAAAATATCTCCTAGACATAAGATTTAATAATGGATACTTTTTAGTTATGATGTGTCAAAGGTGTTCTATAAACACAAGTTTTACATTTTTGGTACACCATAGTTCAATTATCCATTATTAAGCTTTGTATGTTATCTTGTCTTATTATAGCTTTTGTTTACTATATTATAAGTTGCATTATATGTGAAAACTAAATCATTTCCGGGATCTCATTTTCCATATAATTAATGCAGGATCTTTTCGATCTACAATTATGTCTTCTCGTAAAATATCTTAAATGTATATTTCAGATACGCTACGGTGTACGGGAATACGCTAGAACTGCGATCGACATGATTGCACGTCGATTACGACTCGCTTTCCTAAATGTCCAAGCGGCTCAAGAAGCACTGCCAGGTATCATAGATATCATGGCCGAGGAATTACATTGGTCGGCAGAGGAGAAGAAGAAGCAGCATCGCGAGGCCAGCGAATTTCTCGCTCAAGAGATGGGTCAGATGGTGAACCGTGCTTCCCGCGACAAGATTCCTATCAATCTCACCAAGGATGAAATCCAACTCTACATCAAGCGCTTCCGAATTATAGACAAAGATAAGAAAGGATATGTGTCTATCAATGACATTAGACGAGGACTAAAGGTTTGCATATATATATTTCGGCATCTCTCCGGTATCTCTGACATTTTTTTATCTGCTTTCACATTCTTTAATTATCGATATCCATTAACGTTGCCGATACGCAGGTATTAGGTATACATATGAACCAGGACGAAATACACAGCTTGTTGAGTGAAATTGATGTTACTTACAATGGCCAAATGGAATTGCCAGATTACTTGCAGGTAAATCTTCAAACATATACTCAATGTATATTCTTTCTCTTCACAGCTCTTTGGAGATAAGGAAGTACCGGGTGAAGAACTTCACGAAATTCTGCGTGAAATCGACACCAATATGAACGGTCAAGTTGAATTGGATGAATATCTTCAGGTCTGTGACATTGCGCATAGTGCACACAGTCACAGTCGGATTTCTTTTCGCATATTTATTTTTTCGTTATGCATTGTACAATGCAGTAATTTTTTAGAATGATTTCGTTTCTTTTTTAACACGATTATGTGTAGTAATTCCCAATAATAATTTCTGAATTGACAGAGAAATTAACAATTAGCAATTAGCATAATTATCAGTTTGTTGCAATGCTTTGTATTCTTTTTTTATATTTATATTGCATGCGTTATGCACGATGTAATCAAAGTTATTTCATACTATTTTTTCGAATATTCTTTTAAATTTGCATAAATCACTTTTTTATGCTATATATACATATATAAACTTGTATCATTTTTTATATGCAGATGATGTCAGCTATAAAATCTGGTCATGTGGCATATTCACGTTTTGCGCGGATGGCTGAAATGGAGGAAGCACAGCACGAACAGGAAACACTCAAGAAACAAATAAGCGTCGAGAGATCAGGGGGAGGACTATAAAAAAATCTACCCTTAGGAATTAGAATTTGAAATATATTTTAATTTCACATTTGACAGGTTTCACTAGCACGTATTTATATCTAAGAATATCAGTTTATACGATCGAAACGAAAAGAATCAAACAATCTCTTGCGAAATGAAACTCTTACGAATAATATCTTTAAAAAAGTATATTATAATCTGCAAATGTCTCGTATCGAATAATTCGCAACGTACGAGTTTGTATACGCACGTCCGTCGCGTAGATTTTTATCGGTAAGTAATTGAAGTCAATTACAAGGAAATATTTTAATTTATGTGTCGTTTCTCTTTTCACAATTTTGACGTGCACTATTTATATGTAACATCTATATTATGTACAAGATGCAGCACAATCGCATTATTTCTATTTGTATATACAGTCAATGCCGATGCAATATACCTGTAATAATTGTATTGTATATTCTTGTTAAATTGGAAAAAATTTCATTGCCTTAATTGAAGTTCTGGTAGAGACCAGCAAAATACCAATAGGACACAATTAAATCTATTGAATATTTTACTCGAGATAACCAGAATTTAGATTTATTTAATCAATTTTGTTTGTGCTTGTTGGTGCAACCAGAATATTTTTCTCATCATAGGAATATAATTTATGTAATGTTGGAACTTTAGCATTCTAAATTGCCTCGACATTTATAGTATTTATAGCATTACAATTGTACATTATATATTATTTAACCACTCGCTTTCTCGTCAGTACTAGACGTTTATTTTCTGCAAAATTGTGAATATAGCGTTGCTGTAAGATACGCTTGTAATACATCATTTTAAAGAAATTTTGTCAATCTGATCTTTAAAACTAAACCGATAGTAGTGTGAACTACTATCTTTGTATCATTACTAATATATGCTAAAATTGTACAAACTATAGATATATCGTGAGAAGTCATCTAATGTATTATCACTGTAATATGACACAGTGACAGGCACTTGTAATTTATCTCATTATCATCATCATCATCATCATCATCATCATATCAATAAAATCGATAGCAAATAATTTGTAGAACTGTTTTTCCAATTTTTTTTTGTCAAATATCGGTAATGCTACAAATTATATCGCATATAGTCGACACTCATCGGTCAGCGTATTTCAGACAAACGTATGACGTATCGAGAAAAGAATTTCCTGATAACTTTATCGTCATGTGGTTAGGAAAGAAATTTTTTAAGAATTTAATTCTAGGTATTTTTTAAGAATAAGCCTAGGTTTCGGAATTTCATTTTACATGTACGAGGTTGAAACCCTTATGCAAGGAAGGAGATGAGGCAGCTTATCGCTTGACCAACTTTATCGTCATGTAGTTAGGAAAGGAATTTTTTAAGAATAAGCCTAGGTTTCGGAATTTCATTTTACATGTACGAGGTTGAAACCCTTATGCAAGGAAGGAGATGAGGCAGCTTATCGCTTGACCAACACTTTTTTTGCGTGACTTTCCTGAAAGTAAGAAACGCTTTAACGTAACTGGAACATATGGATTGTGGAGATCCTGAAATCCATTTTTTTAATTTTTAAATAGTAATGATTTGAAATAATTTTATGTTTCACAATCTGATTTTTCAGTTTTATTCTATTCATGTAGGATATAGGCTAATTATCGTACTATATCCCTTCGTCATCAACAATTTTCATCCTTTATACGCAATTTGAGTCTTCGAATTTTAGTGCAGATTTTTGTATTGTTTCGAACTATATAAAAAACTAAAAAAAATTCTTGTATACTTGTGAAATCCTTAATTCTTAATATCATAGAAGTTAAATTTTATTAAATTTATTAATTTTTTATAGATTTAAATTTATCTAAAATCTAAAAATTCACAATCAAAAAATGACTGCTTTTAAAATCCAATATATTTGCGTTAAATTCAATTGTAATTTTTTATATAATTGAAAATATTTATTAGTTTTAAACTTTAAAACTAATAACAACAAAAATTCCAAAGATCTAATGTTCTTTCAGCATAACATAAAAGTGTGTATCCTATTACGAGTTAATTCAAAGATCATCAATCGTCAAGGAACATCCCCGAGAAACATCGCGGATCACAGATCGCGACACGTGCCCTATCGCACGAACTGTTCACCCGCGGTCGGTATACGCTAGGTGAAAGGTGGGAGGACTGGGAGGAAGCGGAAGACTAGAGAAAGTAGGAGGTACGCGTGGTTTAGCCCCCTTTAATAGGGTGGGCGTCCGCCGCGAGCGTTCCCGCGTACGCCCCTGCCGAACGACGCCCCGGCGAGCTGCCGGTCGACTTGGTTGGTTGATGGTGATGGCCGACCGGTCGCGCGTGCCGCAGCCGACCAATCGGCGAGCCCGTGCCATCGTGTCGAGCGAAACGGCGACGTTGCCATCCGCGCACCGCCCATTGGCACCGCGTTCGTGGGTATGTGCGCTCGTGTTTTCTCGATCTGTCTCGTTTTAGGACGATATTTGTTGGTGTACGTTGTGCAGCGTTTCTGCGAGCGCGGATGGGCGATTGAACTGGACGAGATGGGACGCGCGCGATATATCCCGTCGTGCACGTGCCAGTGGATTTAAAGAATCGGGGAAATTCATTGGCTCCACTTAGTGGTGTTCTACGGTAGCGTCGAGTAAAGCTGGACTCAAACGTGTCTTCCGCGATTCGACGGTGGCGGCGGTGTACTCGTCCGGAGTACGCTATCCGGTTAATCTCGCTGGCGCAACCCTCCCCCTTCCTACGCGGATATCCAGCGTGATCGAGTTCGATCGTTCGTGGATCGAATGATGCGAAGCGATAGCGTCGCTACGGCATAGTGCTCGGAGGAGGCGGACGGCGCGCGTTGCGTGACACGTGCAGCTGTCTGTGTGCGCGCGCGCGCGCGGCTCACACAGGAGTATTCGGTATACGGGAGGCGACCGCGAGGACGTGCGGGGGAGGCGACCGCGCGTCGGTGAACACTTACCTGTGAATGCCGTTGCGATTGTTTGCAACGTTCTCGCGTACGACGAGACGCGGATGGTACGGCGTAACTTATTTAGTTTGTCGTTGCCGAGTCGACTCACGGTGAACGAACGCGTCGCGTCTGAATCGAAGAGGAGGCGACGCATGTTTTCGCATAGTCGCGTGATCAGCAAATTTTTACATTTGGGCCAAGTTGAACACTGGTGCATTGGTTTCAAGAATAGTGGTGATGCTGGCTTGATGTTGGCACCTGGCGCGTGTCGGCCTGGCGTTTTTAATGGTTTGGCAGTGTGAGTAGACAGCCCTGCGGGAGGGCAACACGTGTTTGTTTCCAATGTTAGGTGGAGTCCCGATGTGGCGAAGTGGGTGGAGGCTGGGCATCGCGAGTCGTGCCTTCCCCGTTATCGCGGGTCGCTCGCGCCGCCGCGAGAGCGCGAACGAGCGGCGGATGACCGAGTGGGCGGTAATGACGACACGAGGCTCACCTTGCCGTCATGTCGGGCCGCGTGCGCGTGCCACATTTATGAATCGGGTAGGGGCGGTGGGGAAACAGGGGCGTAAGGAGGCGGTCCTCGATCGGGTCCTCGGGCGTCCTCCTTGGGTGCCCGTTACCGCCGACCGGCCTTCTTTGTTCCCTCGTCGGGGAAAGAGAGAAAGAGAGGGAGAGGGAGGGAGAGAGAGAGAGAGAGAGAGAGAGAGAGAGAGAGAGAGGAGAGGAGAGGAGAGGAGAGGAGAGGAGTTAGCGTCTTTTGCACATGCTAGCAGAGCCCGATGTCAACATGCTCCAACACTCGTAACCCCTACAAGGAGTTGAAAACTGCACTTTTCCTGCCTTCTAGCTTTCCCTGTTTAAACCCCCGCGTAAAATTCCCAATGCTCCACCTAACTCTTCAGATTTGGAAACTATTTTTTCTTTTCTTCTAGCTTTCTTGTTTAAATCCAGTGTTCCGACTAAATTGTTAAAAGATTTAGAATCATATTCTCGATTTAAAATTGTTTATTCAGATTAATAAAATGAGATATCTCAATCATACAAGTGTGTAAGCGTAATTAGCACTTAAAAAGTTTCTCTTTCCTGTCTCCTTTAATTTTTCTCTCTTTCTGCATTTTTTTAAAAATATGAATCCTTTGCAATGATTCTCTGATTTGTCTGAAACCGATACATTCTTTCTATACATCTCTTTCATTCAATTGTTTTAATTGTTATAATTCCCTAATATGAGCTTTATAGAATTAGTTACTATAATAGACACAATTTTCTAAAAATAACATTTCTTTGTAGGAGCGCCATTTCTGTGGACGATTCGTTTCTTGTAGCTTCAAGAAGATTACCAATGTAGTTGTTACATTATAAATGCCTAGCACTCGACATGAAATGACATTAGATTCGTTGTTATAAATTGTATAGAGTGCAAAACGAAATCATTCATCATGAAACGGAGCATAGACGGCAGGAATCTTTCACAGGTAAGATTATTATGTGTTACTAGTTCTTTACTTTTATTTTACTAATACTTTATTTTTATAATATTACTTTTTGGAATTGATGTTGATAAATGATATTTTTTATATAAATATATATATAATATTTATACACAGCAATTAACTTAAAATATACGCTATTATACTATAAAATATTCAAGATAAGAAAATAAATAATATAATTATTTGTAGGAAGAAATCGAAGAGCAGGATCCTTTGCAACCTCAACAGCAACAGCAAGACGATGCAGATCAACAACAGTTAGAGCAACAGCAGCAAACTGTCCAGCCACAGATTCGTTTTCTAAGCGCTAATGTGTTGCAGCAATTGCAGCAACAGCAAGATGTTCAGCAAGCTCAGCAGCAGCAGCAACAGCAACAGCCACAAGTTATTACCTTGCAAAACTTTGTGCCTTTACAAGCTCAACAGCCGCAACATGAGCAGCAGAGAACGCAAGCAATCTCTGTTCAATCGCTACCTCATCAATTCTTGCAAGTACGAGAAGACACAATTACCTATATTTAAAAAACAGTTGATGCCGTACTGAAAAAAAATTTTACGTTTCATATATTAGATTTGACTTAAATACATATACAGTCTCCAATGAAAGAAATAAATAACGATCTAAATTAATATAGTTAAATGATTAATTTTTCTTCTTAGTGCATGTTTTTAAATTCATTATTCTTTAAAGCCTACTTTATACGATCTATAATTCGCGATCAAATTCAGAACAAAACTCTATTTATAATTTTGCGTATCACACATATAATATAGGAAACATTTGAAGAAAATACACACATATAGAAAATATATGCAGACATATATTTTCTATGTGTATGTACTTTATTTCTTCAAATGTTTTCTATGTTACACGAGGTCTGTTTTTTGTGGCTGAACTAGTGTACATTTATGGAACTTCAAGTGAGATAGACATATATTGGATTCACACTGCATCCGATTTGCGTCGCATGACTCTCTACAATCAGAAAACAGGATTCCGATGATACGAAGCAAAATCCATCGAAATCCTGTTTTCTGATTGGTTGCAGAGCGTCGTACGACGCACATCGGATGCAGTATGAATTCAGCAATACGTTTGATATTTGTCTAAACCGAGAAAGAGAGTTCTAGAACAGTCTAATGCAGAAAGCTAAAAAGAGAGTTCTAGAACAATCTAATACAGAAACAGAAAACAGACCAACGATACGCAAAATTATAAACAGAATTCTGTTTTGAATTTGGTCGCAAATTATAGATCGTCTAAAGTGCGCTTTACTTAATTTTAATTTATAAACGCACTTTCATTTCACAGGGTGCTCAGATTATCAGCAGTGCTCAGGCACAAGCAGCTCTTCAACAGCAGCAGCAGCAGCAGCAACAACAGAGCCAGCAACAAGCCCAGCAGCAGCAAACGCAGCAACAAGCTCAGCAACAACAAACGCAACAGCAACAGCTTAGCTATAGTGTAATCCCACAAATGCAGACTGTTAATATAGATGGTCAGGAAGCTCTATTTATTCCATCCTCAGCAATGTCGGCTGCAAGTGCCCATCATCAGGCGCAGCCAACAATGCAATTTGCTACTGCAAATGGTCAACAAATGCAACTTGCCGGCCAGCAAGTCCAACTAGCAAACGGACAGACTATTATCACACCACAGCCAGTTAGTCTTATAAGAGCACCGAATGTCTTTCCTACTTCGATTATACAAAATATTACGGGACAAACTGTTCAGTTGCCGACAGGTATGTTCTTCATTGCAATCGTTTATAAACGCGTTTTTTTTAATAAAATATTGTTTTGTAATGTGCTAAGAGTGTAATTTATGTGTGCCTTTGTAATTCAAATTTTCCAATTATGGGATTCGTTCGCGTTGCTTGCATTTTTTGCTTTTAAAATCTTTGCTTCTTGTTTCTTTAAGATCCGAATATATTTCTCCTATTTTAAGTGCAAAAATTTTAAGGGGGGATTTCAAGCAATATGCGAATAAGTTTATTAATAAGTATGTCTAAACAATTTTAATGTAAGATGATGGAATAATGTGTATTGTTCTAGGACAAAGTGTACAGGTAAGACCGCTGCAATTTCCTATGCAACACGTTCAGCAAGCGGTACCTGTGCAATTACCAGTCACTGCCAATAACGGGCAAACCGTTTATCAGACAGTACATCTTCCTGTTCAGTCGCTATCCAGCGTCTTCAATATGCCCACGACACAAATGATACCACAAATTATGCAAGTAAGTAATTTAGAGGCATGACAAAGTCTCACGCAAGAAATCGTCCCATTATAATCAACACCATATAACAATTGAGATACCAATTAATAATTTCTGTATGTGACAAATATTGTAAATTATAATATGAAATGTACATTCTAATTATTTTAATTTCAGCAAATACCTCAAGTGGCGCAGATTATCACACCGAGCGGTCAAATTCAGCAAGTGCAAATTGCAAGTTTACCGCAATTGCAAAACCTTCAGGTAAATATAAATCAAATTCAACACAATAAATGAAAATCTGAAATGCATTATTATTCAAAACAATATTTTAAGGAGCATACACCACTACGCAAGATATTGGAAGCGAATAATATTTAAATTTATTAATTTTAAATCAGAATTATGTATAAATATAAACGTTTCGATAATTAGGCTTTAATATATACAGGGTGTCCCGAAAGTTTTTGCCAATCGCTTTTGTGTAGATAGAGCGGACTAAACTTAATCGAAAAGTCTTATACGATTTTGCAATTTTCGCAATAGTTAACAAAAGATATTAATTACTAAAAATTGCCAAATATTGGTCTTGAATAATTTTTTACTCAAATACTATCAACTTTATAGAAAAGCTGCAAGAGACAAAAATAATTTATTTTCTTCTCATAAAGTTCTGAGAATTTTTTAATACCGTATTTTCTCGTGTTGGTAAAAATAAGAAAATGCAGTACTAAAAAGTTGATAAAAAATTCTGAAAAAATTCTCAGAACTTTATGAGAAGAAAATAAATGATTTTTGTCTCTTACAATTTTTCTGTAAAGTTAATAATATTTAAGAAAAAAATTATTCAAGACCAATATTTGGTAATTTTTAGTAATTAATATCTTGTTAACTATTGCGAAAATTGCAAAATGGTAGAGGACTTTTCGACTCAATTTAGTCGGCTCTATATGCACAAAAGCGATTGGCAAAAACTTTCGGGACACCCTGTATAAAAATTTTTTCCAATCATCAAAATGCTATTATCGCAATTTACGAATTAATAACGTCTTTACATCAATTATATAGGCATCGAATCTTGTCAATTTGATTAATTACGTAAAACGCTCGTTATATTATAAAATTGTTTATGTTACAAGTCGGTTTTCAATACTTTCCTATAAAATACATAGACCTAAGAGAGGTCGAAGTCAGGACTTGTTAACTACAAATCGGTCGCTTTCAACATTATTTTCGTCATGACCTTATTAGATTGTGGCGACCAGCGGCATCGACGCGTATTCGCATGGAAAAAAGAATTTACATTAGAAGCTTGCAATATACTCGTACGCGATGTATATGCGAGAAGTAAATACAGCTGATCGTGCCGAAGGCCGCAGATATTTAAATCGACGTTGTTTGTGGACCTTTTTCTATATAGGTTGACACGCATGGAAATGTGAATATACTCTGCGAATCCGCGAATTAATTGTAGTTGCTAATTTCGACGACATAAGCGAATATGTTCCAGCGGTTTGAGAATGTAAGAGTTAAACGGCTAATAAATAATGATGATACGCGTAAACGATAAAAGATTATTTGGAAAGATCGAGAGAGTTCTAGAAAGATCTAGAAGGAGAGCAAGCGAATATTGCGCGAGAAAACGAAAGACATTCGGCTGTGAGTCCTCGCTGTAACAAGACCTGTACATTTTGAGTGTTAAGAAAATAAAGCATTTCTGTTCTCGAATTTATCTGCGATTTGGTTTAGCCCGGTAATTTCACTACATTTATCCTCTCACAATATTAATATCAGGGAGTCAGTAAATCTCCCAAAAGATAAACATTTATCTTACGAGATAAACGTACTATTACAGAGTCAGCAAGTAACGCAAGTTGCACATCAACAAGCACAACAACAAGTCGTCCAACAACAAACTCAACAACAAGTGGTACAGTCAGTGCAACAGCAACAACAAGTCGCCCAAGCCCAAGTACAACAACAGCAGCAAGTGCAACAAGTGGTACAGCAGGTGATACAACAGCAACCAGCATCGTCCCAGCAGCAGCAGCAGTCGCAACAGCAGCAGATGCAACAGTCCTCCACTCCATCGTCGACAGTAGCGACTTGGAGCACAACAGTTGCATCTCCCAGCAATGTTCAAGTAATATACTTTAAAATTTGAACATTAACATATTAATAATATGTACATAAAGTTATTCTAAATGATATGCTATACGTTTCTTAGGTACTTGGTATAGGTACATTAGGAAGAAACATAACAGGAAATACCAATGTTATTACCACAAAAGATGGCCAGAAAATCGACGTGCAGACGTTATCTAGTTTGACGAGGCCGCCCGAAACGGTAGAAGGTGATATCAAAGTAACTAATATCGATGCGAGTCAATTAACTAGTGGGCAAGTGATACATATCCCTGCTACACAATCGGCTCAACCTACAGTGCAACCTATTACGATTACAGGTAAGGGAATTGTTATGTGTGCACACACTGTATTAACAAGCACAAAATGGGAATAAATTTACAGTACAAACAGACGAAGGGGAGCGATTCCTTGTACAAAAATAAATCAAAAGTACAGAATAATTTTTTTTGTTCGAGACTTTATTTCCGAGAAAATTTGGAAAATCATGAAGTACGTGTACGCTTACGAACATTTGATTTATGGAAAGACATTGAAAAAACGTTATCATATTTACATAACGAAAATATTTACAAGTGGCAGGAGATTAAAGAAAATATGACAAATAGTTAAATTTTATTTATTTTATTAAGAGAGAAATTGCTCACAGCAAAGAATCGGACGAAAAAAGTTTATTCTGCACTTTCAATTCATTTTTGTACAAGAAATCATCCCCTGTTTGATTGTATTACAGCTTTGTTTCCACCCCGGATATTGAAAGATTATCATACTTTTAATTTCTACATTTTCTGATACATTTCCCCATAATTTTTAATTTTGCAAACAATTAATGTTGCAAATAATCCTTATACAGGAACGCAAGGACAACAGTTAACACTTATTCCTGCGTCCGCATTAGCAAATTTGACCGCGCAACAAGGTAACATGATGAGGAATGTGAGCAATGGAAGTATAATGCAAATTCAGCCAACCGCCGGAATGAATACGACCAATGGTTTCTTACAATCGATACCTGTGCAAAATATCCCAGGCTTAGGCAATGTGCAAGTAATACCGGCAAGCGCATTGCAGCCGGCTACAGTTCAAACGTTGCCGGCCACTGTTCAAGCCGCGACCACACCTATCGTCGCGACAACACCAACCGTGCAACTCGACTCAAATGATCCTACCAAATGGCAGATTCTCCAAACTCTTCAGCACGGGACCTTGACAACGTCCGCTACACCTGTATCTCATCAACAGCAAATACCGAACCCGGCCACTACCCCTACCAGTGACGATCCTAATAAACAGCACCGTAGAAGAGTCGCATGTACATGTCCCAATTGTGGCGATGGCGACAGGTGAGCGATAACTTCTTTCAACCATATCAAACATTTGTTTGTAACACTAATGAATAATAGTCATATGTGTATTGATCTGTATACCCGCATATTTCTCTTTAGAAATAGGGATATAACCAGGAAACGGCAACATGTATGTCACATTGCTGGATGTAATAAAGTATATGGAAAAACGAGCCATCTACGTGCTCATTTACGCTGGCATACTGGCGAACGTCCTTTCATCTGTACTTGGATATTTTGCGGTAAAAAGTTCACTAGATCCGATGAACTCCAGAGGCATCGTAGAACCCATACGGGTGAAAAACGTTTTCAATGTCCAGAATGTACAAAGAAATTTATGCGATCGGATCACCTAACGAAACACATCAAAACACATACGAAGATACGGAGCACGGTGAGTACCGCAAATTCAAAACGCATCGCACGCGATGCATTGTCATTTACTGAATTTCAGGAAGCTGCCACTTCGACGCAGGAAGGCTCGTCTGACAGTCAGTCTTCCACTGAGCAAAAAATAATGATAGCTCTGCGCAAGGAGGAGCAGTCTGACATTATCATAGCAGAGCCGATCGAATCCGTAAAAGACTCGTCGAATCACGTAACAAATGACTAAAAATTTTATGACATATAATATAAGATCAGACACAGCAATCGGTCTGTCAGTATCAATAGATAGGCGAATTCAAGCCGGCAAAGCGGCGAAAAGTATGCTTGCCGAGCGAGTAAACATGGTTGGTTCTTAAATCCTACCAGAGGATTCAATTAATCAACAATAAATGTCAATAAGTGGTTATCGATTAAAACAGAAAGCTTTATTCAAAGGCACCACAACGCAAGAGATTTTTCGCTATAATTTTATACTACTATTAATTAACAATAAAATAAACGTTTCGGCCTCAAATTAGGCCATCTTTAGTATTCATATCAATCTTCATAAATTTAGGCATTTATACATGTTTATCTACCGAGCGCAAGATTAAGTTGTTTCCCGTTTTGCATAGTAACTTTAATTCTACGAAACCGTTCGTCATATTCGATACAAATAATATAATAAATTGGTTATGCGTTTCGCGGGTTTCCTCCGTGTCCAGATCCATTCTTGAGATGCCAACGTTTCGTGAACCTTGCAGTCCACTTCATCAACCAGACGAAAGGATCCTAACCATCCTCCTATATGTCAAAGGAACAGTAGATCAGAGATTGGCAGGATATTAAACAAACACAATATCCGAACTATCTTCAAACCATTCAAAAAGATAAGACAAATCTTAAGAAATCCTAAAGATCAAAGACCTCCACTCAGTTCCGCAGGAGTATACAAAATACCTTGTTCCTGCGGGAAAGTATACATTGGAGAAATCGGGAGAATGGTCAACCTTTTATGCGAAACGCATAACCTTTATACAGAAAGCACCCGTGGAAGCCTCAAGAATGTTAATATAATAAATTTTAAAGTAGTCAACAATTATTTAGTCATGTGCTCCAGAATTTATCCATTACAATCAATCCACATTTTCAAAACTCATCCTTGCTATTGCACACATAATTTCCTGATTCTAATAAGCATACATATACTATTTAATAAGATCTCGTGATACTACTAACAATTAATAAACCAATGTAATACCTGTGCTGCAATGTAATCCATGGACGCAGATCACTTGTTTAAACATTTCAACTGGTAAAAACTTTATGCTTAATTCTTATCATGACTTACAGTTTATATACAAAATTCTGTAGAGAAAACCAAGAGAGGGTAACAAGGAATTATGTAGAAGTTATGTTTAGTAACGAAAAATAAGATTCTGATAATCAGGGTTAGTAAAGACTGTTTTCTCTTAAGAATAAAACATTGTGTTTCTTCTTGAATATGTTTTTAATGCTTCAAATATGCTTTAAACAGTTCTATAAAAAAACATATTTAAAACATATTAAAAACGTCAATTAAGCATATTTTAAACTGTTTAAAACACGTTTAAAACATGTTTTTTACCAACCCTGCTGATAATTTTTCTGTTTCATTTTGTTTATTTAATCCATTAATTTGTTTCTTGATGTAAATTATTTCAGATGTGAGTCTTTTTTGGAACCGTGGCTCTGTGTCTAATATTTGAATAAAATTAACTGTTTAGATTGTAACTCTTCATATGTTGGGAAAACCAAGAGAAAAGTAAAAGCAAGAATAAAATAACATAAAACGAATATTAAAAATTCGAAGAACTCTCATTCAGAGTTATATCTCAGCATCAACTTGAATATGGGCACAAATTAAACTGGGATAATATTCAAATATTAGACACAGAGCCACGGTTCCAAAAAAGACTCATATCTGAAATGATTTACATCAAGAAACAAATTAATGGATTAAATAAACAAAATGAAACAGAAAGATTATCAAAATCTTATTTTTCTTATTTACTAAACATAACTTCTTTTTTACATAATTCCTCTCTTGGTTTTTTTAACAGAATTTTGTATATAAACTGTAGGTCATGATAAGAATTAAGCATAAAGTTTTAACAAGTGATCTGCGTCCATGGATTACATTGCAGCACAGGTATTACATTGGTTTATTAATTGTTAATAGTATCACGAGATCTTATTAAATAATATATGTATGCTTATTAAAATCAGGAAATTATGTGTGCAATAGCAAGGATGAATTTTGAAAATGTGGATTGATTGTAATGGACAAATGCTTCTGGAGCACATGACTAAATAATTGTTGAATACTTTAAAATTTATTATATTATTTGTATCGAATATGACGAACGGTTTCGTAGAATTAAAGTTACTATGCAAAACGGGAAACAACTTAATCTTGCGTTCGATAGATATAAACATGTATAAATGCCTAAATTTATGAAGATTGATATTAATACTGAAGATGGCCTAATTTAAGGTCGAAACGTTTATTGTTAATTTAGCGAAAAACATCTTGCGTTGTGGTGTGTATGCCTTTGAAGCTTTCCGTTTCAATTAATCAAGTTTAATTGCTCGGCGAGCAGACCTAGCCATTTTGTCGATTTGAAAGTGCCAAATATGATAATATACATTTTATGATGAATTAATATTCAGTATTAAATTTCTAAAAAAAATTTGATTCGGTAGAAACAAATCTTAAATCATAGACTATATTCTAGCGCAGTCTAGAGTGTAAAAATTATAAAAAGGAAATTGTTATGTGCATAATATAGCATATAAGTGCATAATAAATTATAAACACGTAAATTATATAAATTATATTATGTAATTATACAAGATATTGAAATTAGCGCTACATTGGTCAAGCGATTCATTGACCTATTTGTTTTAAAATAAATAAAAATAGTATGGTAGCGAGTTTATAGGTATAGCGATAATTCATAACGTACACAATCTATTTTTTTATTACGGTTATGTATATATATATATATATGTATGTATATAATGTAAATCAATGTATACAATTTTGCACGAGAAAGTTTTACACTGTAAACATTTTTTCATATTATAAGAAGTCGAGAGATATTTAGCTTCCTTTTTAATTTATCTAGTTATTTTAAACCGGACACAGCTTCGTAATATATCGCACGCGAGCTATACATAAGTTTTATCGTAGGAGACTTTTGCCTGAATTTGAATCGTGTATATAGATTTTAAATAATCGTTTAGCGAGGTTGTCTGTCTTGTAATAAATATAATAATACGGGCATGAAAAAAAAGGAAGAATGTAAATGTAAAAAACTTAAAACGATACGGAGTACACGGTATCTAATTAATAGTGAAAGGTACGGAATTTAAGATACATAAAAACACAACATAGTCATTCATGTTAATAAATTTAAATTTAGGAACATTTTTTAAATGACTACTATTTATCCTATTATCTTAAATTTCGTCACCCTTCATCGAATGGATGCTTCATACTTCGCACTGTTATATCACATCTCTATTTCATTTTTATTGCATCTTTATCCGTTACAAAAAACTGGCAAGCCTGCGGATATATTGAAATCTCTAGAAATGGAAATATATAATTATATATTTTTTCGCGTTTTTGCTGTTTTTTCCGATATAAAATGCTAATAAAAGTGTTGGAGAAAAACAACGCGTCTATGTATCTCACATTATATTAGATCTCTCTTTTTATTGACGAATAAATATGTCCCATAATACTCTACTAATAAATTTACAGACTACTATATGCTAGAAAGCATGTAGGTATATAAACATCATTAAATTCTGTATTTTTATATTATACATACATAACAAACGAAAAATATCCTATTTTATTTTATATAATTAACACAAATATCGCTGCTTATTGTTGACACATTGAAAAGTATCAGGAACGTAAAGAGCTAGTATTTAAAAAAATACACTTTTCCTGAAAGCAACCTCATATCGTATCAATGCTACTTTAAACGTTACTAGTTATTAGATCGATAATATTCATTCTTCTACTAATTATAATCGTATAATTTGTATGTTTAGTTTGTAATTGAATCAATTGTTAATCTTAAACACAATGTAATATTGTGAAATTTTTTGTCGTTTTTCGTTATATATATATATATATATAGGAACAAAGTAATTCCAAAAATGTCCGATTCCAAACCTTGGACGTGTCCGACAGCAAAAACGAATTATTCCAAATATTGCAAAATTTACGAGTCTCGTTTACAAGGTTTCGCAAAAGTGCAAAAAAATTTTTTTTTTTAATACAAATTTAAAGTAAAATTACAACTTGTTTTAGATAAACTATATTTTCTATACACATTGGCATTCTTACTCTGAACTTTGCATGTTAAAAAAGAAATTCAGTAATAGCCTTGCATATGCAAAACTCAACTTTTCTCTTTCTATTGTAATATTTAACTTTCTTAAAACAAACACTTTTATCATTGTGAAAAGGAAAAACGAGCGACACAGAATTATGTGTAAAACATAATTGAAATAGACGTCTAGTAATACAGCGCGATATTTGTTTTTGTTAACGCGCATACTAGCAGAATGCTTGCTCATTGCATATGTACAGGTAGCGCGAAAGTAACTCCAATTCGACTGAATACGCAATAACATCGGCCGGAAGAATTTAGATACAATTTCTAATCGTTTTCTTTATGCTATATTCTATTTTATGTTTATACAATGTGTGTAACTTCGTCGATTGCTGCAAACTACACAATTGTGGATGCAAGGGTTTATCTCAGTGCGCATATTTTCTGAAATATTTTTACTATATATATAGTATATATGTATGCTGCATATGTAACGCGAATGCGTTTCATTCATATGCATTTGCGTTGTAAAAATCAGCTTTACGAGAATTAATGCATGTGTCAAACAGTTTTTACGCACTACGAGAACTGAACAAAGCAATTTGTTACACACTCACGCGTCTTTATTCGTCGAGACTCAGATAGCCATAGTCAAGGTACAGAATACCTTAATAGATACATGTTACAACACAGTCAGAGGATTAAATTTAAAAGAATGAAGAAAGTAAAGGTGCAATTTCATGCAGCGAAGGGAAACTAGCTTTTTACCCCCACTTCGCCACAATCAAAGTAGCGTTCAAACTGTTCGCTCTTCTGCTTCCTTTTCATAGAGCGTATGTTCGCTGCTTTTAAGTTAACGAATACACTCATTTATTTTTGTTAGCTTTTAATTTCATTTTAGTAAAAATGGATTACAAGAACGAGAATTCTTCGCGTATGTAAAAGAATATAGCAGCAGCTACAGCAGAGATTCGGAGGCGATGCATAGCCATTGCAATTGTTAATATACAATTATTAAAAAAGAAAAAATACTGAATAGCACATCCATTTCCAAAAATCGCTACGAACATGGTTTTTTCTTTGCTTCGCTCTCAAAATTAATCTTGGAAGACATACAATTGTCATGTTCCATGAAGATGACACGACATGTCATATATTTTAGCGACGTTCGCTATTAGTTGAATATCTAACTTTGAGCATAACTTTGCTATATACGAAAATTGATAGAGTGGGGATAAAACGGCAGCTTTTATTAGCTGTATGAAATGGTACCTTAATAATGTA